AGAAGAAGAAGAAGAAGAAGAAGAAGAAGAAGAAGAAGAAGAAGAAGAAGAAGAAGAAGAAGAAGAAGAACACATTTCATCGTGCTTACAGGATGATTCAGCTGCATTTGTCACGATGTTTTCACGAATTGGCGGCGGGACAACTTGAGTTGGACCACATCTTTGGCATCAAAGAACTTGGAAGGTCAGCCATGAGCTGATCTCCCAAGGACCACGGTGGCAGGTGTGCACATTCAATCTGACTGCCAAAAAGCTGAAATCATCACACTGCACACTCCACACTCAAATCTATGGCCTCGTTAATTGGGTCTTCATTCACCCAAACCGCCCTCCATTGACTTCATGAATGACTTTGTGTGTAAAACGAGGGTTTTCAACGTTTGTCGTGGGGGGTTGAGGCTCGTTTTTGTGTGAGTCAGACTCTTCGGGACGTGTTCACCGTTCACCGAGCCGTCGGATGGGAGCCCGCTAACTCCCGGCCTCCCATCCGTGGTGGTTTGACCTGGTGGGATGACCCTAGCTCCTGACTAAACCAGGTCAAACACCCAAATACTTAGGTCCACCTGGTGGGGTTTGGACACCTGTCAGGAGAGCCCCAGCTCGGTGGATGCCGGGAAGATGCCACGCTCCCGGGAGGCCGAATGCATCGGTGTTCGACGAGTCCGGTCGACCAGATCGACCGGTTTTCTCCTTCCCTTCCCTTCCCTAGCCTATTCAGCCATTATACAAATATATAATTGTGTCCCCCCAACCACCCCCAACTGATCAGGCCGAAGTCATCTGCCAGTCCCGCTCTTCCCAGCTCGTCCGGTCCCGCGATCCTCACCTGCAGGTCGTGTTGACGGGCGACTTGGTCGACACGGTCCGCCCCGGAGATGAACTGTGGCTCGGCCCGGCCACCATTTGGGGTCGTGGTCGCACGGGGTCCCCGGAGGGACGAGCACCGGGACGGAGCGGAACGGAGCGGACGGCCGTTCCGATGTTGCGTTCATGCTCCTGGATTCTGTGGTTTCTTTGTGTCATTACTGTAACATGTTCTTCAAGCCACAACCATGGGTTCGGTTCCTCCTTGGCGGGGGGGGGTTGGTCTTCTATGGTCTTCTTCTTGAACTCAGACTTGTCATTCATCTGAGCACATGGAGGGGAGGCCTGTGGAACTCGGACTCTTCGTGTCGGGGCGTGTCGGGGAGGCCCGCACCGAAGTGCGCTGAGGGATCTCATTGGCATCTACCGCTGCCTGCACGACTCGGCGACCAACGCACGGACCTGCTGCTGGTGCAAGAGAAGGGGAGAACGGGAGAAGACCGAGGAGTGGAGGAGGAGGGGATGGAGGATGGGTAAGTGATCCCCAAAGAGAGAGTGGCACGGTTTCCATGACATTTTGAGTGGGGTTCTCTCTCTAAGTGAGAGAGGAAGAGCGGTGGACTCGGGCCGGGTCTTGTGACGCGAAGCCAGAGATATTCATCGACAGTCACATGGAAAGGACTCCAAAGGTGACGCTCTTTGAGGTCTAAGTGACTGACCCAACGTCGCTGGCCCCTCCAACGTCCTCATGGTTACGTGGAGAACGCGATGAACAACTGGAAAGACCATGGAATCAGTCATGAGATCCTCCGCAAACAGTGGCCTTCCCACTTCCCTGTTTGTTGGATGGGGGCCCCTTTTTTCCCCCACCCATGACTGATTGCTCCGTATGTTTTTTTCCCTTCAATTTGAAGGTCGTTTTTGTCTGAAAGGCGAGGCGCGAACCGTCTCCGTCAACGGCCGAAGTGTGACCTCTTCGGGTCCGAGGGGTTTGAGAGAAGCGTCACACGGGAGAGCCCTGGGTTGAGTCTTGCCACGGTTGAGACTTGGGCCCTAGTGGGGGCCCTAGTGGGGGCCCTAGTGGAGGCCCTAGTGGGGGCCCTGGGTTTGTCTCTTTATAATTGGACCTCCTAACCAATGGGTGTTCGATGGTTTTAGTCTATTTTCCTTCTTCCATGGGGTCTTCAGACGGTCTCCCTATTTTCACCTATTTTCATACACACCCATATGTTACGATATGGTTCCAGAAAAGCATCAAAAAACGGCCGAAAAAACTGGTTGTCCACTCACTCTTGCTGCCCTGAGACGCCCGGGGACCCGGGGGTGTCCCTTGGGTCCGGCTCCCGAGGCTTCCCAGTGTACCGCACGGACATCCAAGCAGTGCACATCAACCGGAAGGGAGACTTGAAGCTCATCCAGATCAGCGATGATCAGCAGAAGATGATTTTGGATTTGGCCAAGAGCCGCTCAGAAAAATGCAGAAGCCCGGAGATCCGCCGGAGAGCGGAGAAAGACGCGAGTTGGAGCCAAACCTTGGGCTAGTCGACGCGAGTTGGCAAACTAAAGAAGGTTCCATGAAATGGAATGTGAGTGCTGTGGCCATGAGTGCAGTACTGCAAAAGGTGTGCTCTCCTCCCTCCTAAAGAAGGAAAAGGAAATATAGAGATGAAAGTTGAGCTCCCTCGGTAGCATCAGCGGGTTTTGTGTGATATTGGCAACAGGCAGCATGTTCAGGGCGAGCTTCCTCATTTTGGCCACAGGAAGCTTCCCAATTGGTCAATGCTACAGTGCTCTTGGCGATGTTGAGTATGTGTGGTGTAGAACGGCCGGAATCCTTCGGTTCCCAGTTCTTCCCAGCTCTTGGCAGCTCCGGGCGAGATCGAACAAGAAGATCCACCCAGTTCCTCGCCGCCGCGCACGGCCGCGCCGCGCTCCCAGGTCCTCAGATCCGGGAGCGTTTTATCTCCTCCATGGCGCCCTCGATCTACGGCGGGGGATCGACGGGTGGGCGTGCAGATCGGAAGGGTCGGTGACAGCTTTTCGATCTTGCAGCGCAAGACATGAAGATCGAGATGGTGGAAGAATGGGTGTTGGATGTGTGACAATATGAGTCTTTTATCAGATTCATTGATATAGGGCTGCTATAATTTGCTATATAGCTTGGATCCAAAAGTTTTGGTAGACAAGTTTTGGTAGACAAGTTTTGGAGGCGTCTCTGTGCAACACAGTCCATGATAGATTTACGGCACCCATTCATGATTCACCTGCACCTGCAAAGACTAGTCGTAGATTCGTCGTATTTGCGGTGGACATGTTTGGAGGGCCGTATACGGCCGTCTGGCCCGCTTCGTACGGCCGTGCTTCAGACAGGCATGTGGCACGTGAAGACAGCCATTGCCTTGAGCCACTCGGCCGTGTGTTCCGGAACCACGGTGCGGGCGTGTTCGTCGGGTCAGGTAGGACGGTTAATGAAAAAGCAAAGAAGGATAAAAACACGCCTACGGCAGAGGTCTTTGTCTTCATCAACATCCGACAGGAAAATCTGGAGCGTAAGACGGGATTTCTTTGACTTATCATGGTTTTTTCTCAGAGGGCAGTGGTTGAGGGGAGAGAGGAGCCTTGCACCCATACCTTACACAGATGTTTGAACGACATGTCGTGCCTCCAGGAGCCTCAAGCGTGCTATAGTGACTGACCGGCATCCTAACATTCTGGCTCCAGTGTCCCAGTGTTCCATAGTGCTGTCGCTAGCTCTGGCTGTCGTGCGTGCTCGCTCCGTGCCTTCGACCCGACCGCTTCCCGGTCGACCGTCCGGTCTGTCGTTCTCCGTTCGGAGCCGACCCGTGCTAGAGGCATCATGGGAGGGCAGCCCAAGCAAGCTGCTGGAAAGCATCGGATCCGGGGAGACATCAACACACTGATCGTTGGTGGGGGCTCCTGGCGGTCACATCGGCAAGGGGGGACAGGGGAGGAGAAGCGGCCGACAAGACGCGGCCTTTTTGGACGACCTGCGACAGTAGATGTTGCAAGCCTTGCGCGGAGAATAGTGAAACTAATTTAAACTACTATAAATAAGTTATAATGTTTTTAATTTTTTTTTAAACTTAAGTTAGCATGTAACTTATCATTAATAACTGTGATAACTCAATTAATATCATATCTATTGTAGTTTATCATGTTTTGGCTTTGCTGTGCCTTCTTCGGCCAGCATTGAAGACCTGCCTCTTTCCGAAAGGAACACCCGATCTTTGACGAACCATTTACAGTAAGTCAATGATTTCACCTGCAGATCGCTTGATGCATGCAGTTCTGACCACTTTTTCGAGCCACCTGCAACACGGTATAACACTTATAGAGGAGGTCTTCCTGCTTGGTGGAGGTCTTTCTGACCTTCCCAACCACCCTCTCCATCCTCTCCCTCTGCAACCAACCACCTTCGCTCCCCCACCCCGAGCCCGACCAGCCAACCTCCCCCCCGAGCCAGGAGATCCAGGCCTGGCGAAGTCGCAGTTCCTGAAATACGTGGAGCAGACGCTGCGACGTCACGAGCGTTTTCGTTGGTCCTTCTCTTCTGCGGGTCGGTCCTTCGTGGTGGTTTTCTCGGTCCGGAGGTGTGGAGGGGACTTCTTATGACAGTTCCATGATGTGCCATGGGAAAAAGTGCGAACATGTCCTGAAGATGGAAGGAGTACTGGTACAACCTCAATCATCGATCCCGAGGCTTACTATCCAAGACGTTGGAACCCAAGAAGTGTTTGGCCCTGAAGTCTTGGTGATTTAAGTTGTCCTTGGAGATGTGCAATGTCCTGGAGGGGGTCTCTGGATTTTGGAATTCGGGCAGAATCACCAACTCGAGCCCACCACATCAGAAAAGGAGATCCAGGTCAATAGCATGGTGTAAGGAGTCAGCCCAGTCTTCACCTTCTTTCTGAGTCTTTTGACACATAACAACGAACACCGACTACCCACGCGCACCGGCGTTTGCAATGGCTCCACATGCCTCGTTTGAACGCCTGGATCCGCTTCCCCTGTAAGCCTTGGCCGCCCCCTCAGGACCTTCCCTCGTGCGGTCTACACCACGGGGAAGGGCGCCAGCGGCGTGGGTCTCACCGCAGCCGTGACGCGCGACGAGCACGGGCATTTCTGCTTGGAGGGCGGCGCCATGGTGCTTCGGCCGATGGGCCCAGGGCGGGACGGAGACGGGCCTCGGCCGGACAGCGATGGAGATTCCAAGCGGGTGTAAATGCACAAGGAGGTGGGTGTGGTCAGGATGCAAACCATCTACACTCCCAAGAACCTTTTCTTCCCCATGCGGATGGATCGTGTTTGCTGGTCCGGTCCCACCTCCCAGGGAGGTCTTCCATGGTCGTCGGTTTGGACGGATCCCCGGGTCGGTCGTCAGTCTTTCATCAGGGTAGATCTTGGGCAAGGGTGATTGGCAGGGATTGGTCCACAGGTTCAGATTTGTTGAGATGTTCATGTGCACTTGTTGTACTTGAGCTCCAAATGCACAGGCAGGACCAGTTGATCTCAAAGAACTGGCTTGCAATCAAATGATTGATGATGTTGTCCGTGCTGGGTTCACAGTCCGAGCGCGGTAAGTATGACAAACATCCCGCCATTCGCTCCATGTTTCCGTGCCTTCCTAACCCCGAAAAGATGGTGTGTTCCCTTTGACTTTTGACCTGGGGCAGTCGCACATCAACCTATATTACATATAGTTCATTATATTTCATTATAGATCTACTTTGAGCCATGGTTTGGATATCTTCTGCAACTTCTCAAACCAAAGCCTTTCGCCTTGGGCAATTCTCATTCCCCCCAGTTGGTACGACTGAAAGCTTCTCACCCCAACCAGATTCAGATAATGCCCGTGATTAGGTCCTGGCAGATGATGGCATTTGCCTCATTGATGAGTTCGATAAAATGCAGCTTGCCAGCGACATGGGAGATACCTTCCAAAGAAGAACACCGGTACCGGCTGGTGTCAGCTTTGTGAATGAGCGTCATCTTAATCCCAAAACAGCGGACCCGTACCCCGTACGGCGTTGAACTACACACATACAGCTTCATCTTTGTGGGGAGTCTCGGGGCACCTGCAGACGACTGTGGAGTCGAGCTGAGAGCTTCAGTTGAGGTCAACTTGAATCATTCACCGCACCGATTCCTTTACTGTAAAGGTTCCTTGGAACACGTATCCTTGACCATCAGCTCGCTCAGCTCGTCAAACGTCAGCAAATCATCTCGGGGCCACGGCTTCACGGCTTGGAGATTCTGCGTGCGACTCAGACCGAACCACAGGCTGGAACTGGATTTGCCAGTGCTTCGGTTGGTTGATGCGGAATGAAACCAGCAGGCTTGGCACGGTGTCTCCGCAGTCTACCCCAAGGGTTCACTGGAACATCGCCCAAACTTTGTGCAGTGATTTACACCAGTGCTTCCAGGAAAGGGTGGGGTGGCTATCAGACACTGGACATGTATGCCTCTACCTCGATCCGAAGAGTGATTCCAACTTTCACCCCGCACCGGATTATGCGACAGCGCAACGCAGCGAAACGGCTCCAATTCCGCGTGAAACTCGCTTGAAAAGAACTGGCAACGCTATACCTTTCAGGGACCAATGACAAAGACACCCCATGCTATGGCGCACTTCGCGTGCACCGAAGTGCTATGGCGACGACCCTTTGCATTCCAACAACCGTAGAATGGGATGGACAGAATCTGAATAGAACAGAGGGGAGTTCTGCCTTTTCCATGACAGATTTCATGGATAATTGTGAGGCTGAAGCTGCCTTTGAGTGTCAAACTAACACGTCTGGCCAAGCCTGTTCACTCTAACGCATCGGACTCTTTAAAGTGGGAGGCTTTAGCGGTGTGATCCGTTGTCCTTGCAACAAGAATCATTTGTGTTCACCAATTTTCTCCAGGACTTCCCCAAACACGAAGCATCCTCCATGTCCAGGGTCCAGCACCAAACCCCCCTGTCTTGGAGACGCCCGCCCATAGCCTGTTTCCCCGCCTTTTGGGTTCCGCGCCGCCCTTTTCACCGTGCCGCGTGAGGAACGACCAAGACCGGACCTCGTTGCACGAAGCGATGGAGCAACAGTCGATCTCCATCTCTAAAGCTGGGATCGTCGCCACCTTGCAGGCGCTGTAGAGAAGGAACGGAAGATCGCGCGTGCCCTGTAGAGATGCGGAGCGCTGTAGAGATGGGGACTTGAGGGGAAGGACGAGACAATGGGAGGGGGGGAAGTGAGTGTTTGATTTTGGGGGGTCTAGACTCTAGACAGAAGGAGAAGGACGGGATGCGGCCATGCATGTGTTTCATGGAGGTGTGTTTGGAAGAGGACTGAATAGAATGGACTTGCAGGAGCCAAAGCAACGACATATAATTCTTGTAATCAAACCCCGTTAACTGTTGCCCATACACTCCATGTATGCCATGTATGGCTACGTTGACCCCCCCAAACCACCCCAACGTAGTATGGCATACATGGATATTGTCCAGGATCTCCCGTCTCGTGTTTGCAGTTATGTCTAGACGACTCGCGGCGTCGCATGGCGCACTCATGCCTTGCTGATCAAGCCTCAAAATGGCTACCAACCTTGAAGGCATGCTTAAGCTATTTGCCTCCAGGACGCTATTAGGTTCGAGGCCATCGCCATTAGGTTCGAGGCCAGCGTGGAGGCCATCGCTATTAATTAGGTTCGAGGCCATCGCCATTAGGTTCGAGGCCAGCGTGGAGGCCATTGCTATTAATTAGGTTCGAGGCCATCGCTATTAGGTTGGAGGATGTTGGAGGCCATCGCTACTAGGTTCGAGGCCATCGCTATTAGGTTGGAGGCCATTGCTATTAGGTTCGAGGCCATCGCTATTTGGGTTGGAGGCCATTGCTATTAAGGTTGGAGGCCATCGCTACTAGTAACACTGGGTTTCCACCCAGACTACGCCCTGAAATGCTCGGGAAACAGCCGGCCGGAACCCTCGCGGCGTGAGCCGGAAATTCGCCGGAGGCTCGGTGCGCGGTGGTGGCGGTGGCGAATCCCTTGGAAGGGAGGTACGATCAGCAGAGGACGGGAAGGCGGTGTCTTGTTACCCCAAGACCCGTGGTCCTGTTGCACCGTTGTCCCCCAGGCACGCTCTGCAGCGTGCATATACAGTACGACCTGTATCAACCTGTACTGATTGAGAATCAAGAAAGTACCATGACCCTGCCGCTCCACGGTCCACGGAACAGGAAGCTTTCTACCGCCCCTACATTGATCCCCCTGGCACCACGTTGGCGTGGATTGGCAGTCCGTCCTGGCAGTCCCATTAGTCGCATCTGCACCACGCACGGACTCCCCAGACGCGGTGGCACATGGTGTGAATCAGGTAGGCACGCACTGTTGACCGATGTCAGAAAAAAGGGGAAGCGGGATGTTCCGTGGGCGTAGCTGGCGCCAAGCTTCTAGCTATATAGCTGCATAGCTGTTTGTTCTAAGATTTGGTGAGCTTGGTGCTAGAATGTGCTAGAGCTCCCAAGAAGGCAACAACAACCCGTCCAAGCCGCTGCTGCCGTGGCTGCTTTCTTGATGGCATACTTTGCAAAGTTCTCGGATCGTGCCCCGCTTGGTGAGCCACTGTTAGGGGCGGCCAACTGTGACTGCCAAAGGGTTGTCAAAGTGTTATGCCCTGAGGCCGGTTTGAGAAAAGGTGCCTTTCGTGAAAGAAAACATCCTCACCCAACACGTCACATCCTCTGGTCAAGCTCTTTCTGGTCAGCACATACCAGCACTGAAAGCCCAAGAATCACCTCGCCTTTCTTCACCTTTTCTTCCAAAAGCAACACCTCCAGAACATTCCAGAAAACCCACCAGCGAGTCGCTCGCTTCGTGTGCACTTCTTAACCCGTCCCAACCGGAGTCGTTCCGCTTCCGCGCACGGCCCACGCCCGCAGTCCGCGCGCGCGCAGAGGACCTTCTCGCAGAACGTGAACCTTTCGGATCCCATCCTCAGCCGCTTCGACGTGCTGTGCGTGCTCAGGGACGAGTCCGATCCCGTCCAGGTACCGATTCGCTTCGCTTCGTGCGGCAACCGCGGGCGGGGTCAGCGTCGGTGCGCGGGTGGAGTGACCCCCGGGGCTTCAACGAGCGGCTTCGGTGAGCAAGTTACAAGTGAACCGCTACTAGTAACCAGGATTAACCAGGGCAATACTACTAATATATACTTAGGAGCTATTAGTAACAAGTGCATCGCTACTAGATGCTACTAGTAACGAGGGCATTACTATTCTAGTTTCTTTAGATCAACATCGAAAACCGGTTTGCAGGATGAGATGTTGGCGAATCATGTGGTTTGCAGCCACATCCGCTCCCATGCTGATGCCACGGCGGAAGAGAAGAGCAAGAAGCCGAAGACCCAGCACACCTCGCACTTGCCACCAATCAGCACCTCACTTCAAGCATTGGTTTGTTCGGATGTGGCCCATGTGGTGTGTAATATGATGACAAGCGGTTTCTCCATACCCTCGGCAGCTAGTAATGCCTAGAGGACTTTTGGATTTGCCCCCAAGTTTGGTAAGCATAATATCCAAGGCTAACTTGTGCAAGATCACTTTCTAGATCTTTCTAGGCAAAGCACAAGAAAGTAACTAGGGAACCATGTTCTCAGACAGGTGGCGTGAAATGTGCAATGTGAGGCCTCTAGACTCTAGATACTCTAGACTATGTGTTTTCTCCAGACTTCCAGTTCTATACCGATGTTTTCTTTGGAGTGATTTTGTGATGTTTTTTGTTGAATGGAAATCAAAGACATGACCTTTCAAGGTATATTCCTTCATTAGGAGCTGGTAGTACCAATGATTCAAATTGTTGTTGAATCTGTAGGCCTTTATTTTCTTGTGAGATGTTCATCCATTCTCTAGAGCTCAATTCTGGTGGGCTAGAGCATGGGGTCCCAACCCCACCTCGGGAACAGCCACGGGGATTTCTTGATTATATATCTTTCAGGCCGAGAATCTAGGAAGATCTAGGAAGTGTTATCTAAGGATTTTTTCAGTTTTTTTTTGTTTGATTCTGCTTTTGCTGCGTTTCTGCTTCTGCTGCTTTTCTGCTTTTGCTTTTCTGCTTCTGCTGCTTTTGTTGCTTTTCTGCTTTTGCTGCTTTTCTGCTTCTGCTGCTTTTCTGCTTTTTGTGTTTTTGTCTTTCTGCTCTTTGCTTTTGTTGCTTTTCTGCTTTGGCAGCTATTCTCCTTTCACTTTTTGCTTTTGCTTTTCCATCTGTTTGCTTTCTAACCTTTGGATCTGGTGTGCTGCTGGGGGGGGGCAGCACCCCCCCCCGCACCACGAAATCTGCAATTCATCTCCGACACCCGCGCCTGCCACGAAATCAATATTTTAAGGTGAACTCCCCGGGGCATAAACTTCTAACCAATCATATATGCCTCCTGTGCTGGTTCTCCTTCTCTTTACTGTTTCTCTGCTAACGTAGGACTTTCTCTGACACCTACACTATGCCAATGTATTTTGCCAGCTACGACAGCTACCAAATTAGTCTAATCAGCTAGCAATTAATATGAAATCTGCACTATTCCAATGTATTTGGCCAGCTACGACACCTGTGTCTCGGCTAAGGACACGAAATTGCTGTAATTAGCTAGGTGCTAATAAGAAACCTGCTCTATTCCAATGTTTTTGAAAAAAAACTCCGAAAAAACATGAAAACAATTCCCAAATTAAACGTGCACCCTTAATTCCCAGGTCGCCTTCTTGACCAATACTATGACAAATGTGGCTTTAAGGACCCTCTATAGAAGATCACAATTGAACCTGTGAAAAAGGAAACAATTTCGAAAGAGACATGCGCTGTTTAATCAAGTTGATGTCATTATGTGTGGACGTTCTAAAATGACCTTTGACCATTCCATATTCTAGGGAGGTACTTTTCCTGACCCCTGCCATTTTCGAGTCACACGTGCACGCCTCGAAAGTTCTACTTCACATTTGAATGTGTTTCCAAGCTAGTTGAAAACATGATCCCATACATATCCATAGATTCCCGTAGAATTCTCACTATATATAACATACAGTATATATATAATATATATATATATATTTCTAGATAATCTTGAGAGCCGAGAATCTCTAAGAAGTAGTTATTCCCAGGTCTCGCTTGTGATCAATCTTGTTCAAGAATTGCTCTTTTCAGTGCCCTCTAGAGAATGCTATGTGTTTGTTTTAAGGGGGTTTCTTTGGCCTATTCCACTCATAGTGGAACCTGTCCAAAACCATATTCTGGAGATGCATCAAGGCATGAGATCACACATGTTTTCTTTCTGGAATGCCTTCATTGCATTTTCAAGAGAGCCTTTTTTGGTCTTCAAGACTGTTTTGTAGGCAAAAGTGCATGTTAACTTTTTCTAGGTAGAGAATGGTTAAACCGGCTTCACCTTGGGAATCTTAAGGGGGATATATTTCGATAACATCGACTGTATGTGTTATAATATTTTGTGTTAGTAGTTCCTACTTTTTCGTTACATCTGTGGTTTCCACAATTGAACTCCCAAACAAGCAAACCCTGCACGGAACATGAACCATAAGATTTATAGATTGCCATGTGCATGAACATGGACAAGAATGCCCTCGAAGAACACTGCCAGAACTCCCACACCCACGCTCATCCGGACGTTCACCTGGGCCCTGCAGTCGCCTTCGGCGGTCGCCCGGTTTGCACGGTAGCGGTTTTTCCAGGTCAGGACCTGCTCAAGAAGTACATCGTCTACGCGCGGCAGCGGGTGTTCCCCAAGATGACGGACGTGGACGCTGAGAAGTTGGCGTCCTTCTATTCGGAGATGAGGGCCGAGGCCTTCCGCACAGGCGCCGGAAGATAAGAAGCGCTTTCAGATCGTTCAGCAGGTCTCGCAATGGGAGAAAGGCTGACTGAACCGAAGCCAGGTGACTTTTGGTAGGTCTGTGGGGTTGCCGCTCTTCAGCTCTTTGAGGCGCCGCTTTCTGACAGAAAGTCCACAGAAAGGTCCTCTTCCCGAATATCTCTTGGGGGCACCGGGCACCACCCCCGGTCACCGCCCGCCCCGGACTCGCTCGCCCGAACTCGGAGACAGATCAGTGACGAGGAGGCCGTTCTTCGCACGCGGGATGACTGACTAACGCGGCAGGTGGAGCTCCGATGACTGCACGTCACATGGATAGCTTGATCCGCTTGGCAGAGGCCAACGCCCGCATCGAGCTGCGACATCATGTGCCGACAGCGGAAGGGAAGGGCGGACAAAAGCGGACCCTGGGTGCTGGGCCGCGGGGGGTGGCTCTTTTGGCCGGAGTTGTTGGTGAGGGATGTTGGTGACATGAGATGATATGAACATGAGATGGTCAGATAGTTAAATCACGTGGGCTACGGAGTTTGGCCCATTTTGGCCCCTTGCTTGTGACTTTTGTCCAGTTAGAGTTCAGTTGCTTCTTTCATCGCGATACAGAGATACAGACGTTTAAAAAGAACGTGCAGCATTGGCCAGACAAATGCCATGTGCGACAACTGTTCGTGCTCAACGATATACAGGTGAATAACATGAATCACCGGGCACTTCCCCCGACCACGAAACGATCACCAAACAGACGGATGGACCCGCTCAGATGCGCGTTCTGTGGGTCCCGCCCCCCCCAGAATTCTGCGCGGAACGCTGCGGCCACACCATCGTTCTGCGTGAAACATGGCAAAAGCAAAAATAATCAAAAAGACAAGAACGATACACTCCCGAAAACTAACATGGAAGCGGAACACCACCTGTTTGTAGGGGAAAATTGTCTTCCAAGGGGCCATTCTCCACTTCCATGTTAGTTCCAGGGAGTGCAATGCAACACGTGGGGTCCCGTGGAAAAAGGTTTGTTTAAACGTCAACCTCACACCTCAGGTGACGGTCTTGCTGTGAAGATTGTGAAGGATGACCGTGATGAAATGCCGGATGTTTCCGGAGTTTGCAGACAACTTGGGAAGTGTGCTTTCGAATTGCACCCAGGTGAACAGCAGGGACATTGACAATGCGATTGCAGTGATGTTGGAATCTTTCATTCAGAGCCAGAAGCACCAGGTGGGAGCTGGTTCTCAGAACACTTCCTTGGACTGAAACACAGGTCTGGAATCATCAGATGCCAGACCTGATGGAAGACTGACGGGCTGACCGACAGGAACGGACTTGGTTGAGCCGTTCGAATTTGGTTGAGCCGTTCTGATGGTCCGAATTTGGTCGTAGTACCAGAAAGAATGTCAGCAATTATGCCATAGAGAATGCCAGAATATATGCCCGCTAGACCGCCAGAATACATGCCAGGTATGCTGTCAGAATAGTTGTCACAATATATGCCTGAAACATGTCAGAGTGAATGTCAGAATGTCAGAACATATTCCACACAGAATGCCAAGATTTTATTGCAGATAGACAGCCAGAAAGAAGGTCAGAATGAATGCCGGGATATTTCACCAGTTCCCCTGAGGACCCTGAAAGCCGAGTCCAATCACCCTGTCCCGAATGAGCGGAGGACACCTGTTTTTTCAATGTGTTTCCACTAACGCCCTCGGGTGAACACCATGTTCCTGGCTTTTTCTGCAGCCTGGGACGTAGGGAGTCCGGAGTCCGGACCCTCAAAACGAAACCCTTTCCATTTGATGACCCTTCATTCTTATGGGGTTCACTATGGGTTTGCTAATTTCGTTTTTTTCAACAACGGCCTGTCCGACCAGAACGGCGGAGGTGGCCGAAGAGCTGCGCAAGAAGTTTCGTCGCTATTTGGCGCAGGGCCCGCTGGCCGATCAGCACCTTGGAGGGCACGGCGAGTCAGCGGTGAGTGAAGGGAGGGAGTGAAGAGAGGTGAATGGGTTTTCATTGAGAACAGGTTAAGATTATGATCAGAAGAGCGAGAGGGAGAGAGAATGGAGAATAGTCCTGATTGTTCTGTTTTTTCCCGAAAGCATTGCGAAGGGTTCTTCCGGAAAATCCCTTGAACACTGACACTTCGACACTTACACTTACACACTGACACTTCCTACAACATGAACGCTATACGTACCCCAGTGTTACGTACCCCAGTGTAAGTGGAAGAGCGAAAGCATCCAAGTGCAAAGTATGCAAGTGTCAAAGTATGCAAGCTCTAGTGTAATGATGCAAGTGCAACGATGAGTATGCAAGCATGCAATGAGTAGGCAAGTGTGAGCATGGAAGAACAGCGTCAAAAAACTAGCACGGGAGATGTCCTAATGAAAAACATTTCCCCACTTTATAAAATTAAATTCTCTCTTAAAGGCGGAGGGTGGGACGACCAGCGTCAACCGAAAGTGCAACCCTCTGCGGAGATCATGCGTGTCGAGTGCGCGAAATGCAGGCGAGAGTGCGATTTGTCCGGTGCGCGCGCAACCTTTTGCGGAGATCGTGCGTGCCGAGTGCGCGAAATGCAGGCGAGAGTGCCGCGCGTCGGCTGCCCGCGCAACCCTCTGCGGAGATCGTGCGTGTCGAGTGCGCGAAATGCAGGCGAGAGCGCGATTCGCCCGGTGTGCGCGCAACCGCGGAGATCGTGCGTGTCGAAATGCAGTCGAGAGTGCGACGCGTCCGGCGCGCGCGCAACCTTCTGCGGAGATCGTGCGTGTCGAGTGCGCGAAATGCAGGCGAGAGTGCGATTTGTCCGGCGCGCGCGCAACCCTCTGCGGAGATCGTGCGTGTCGAGTGCGCGAGATGCATGCGAGAGTGCGATTTGGCCGGTGTGCGCGCAATCCTCTGCGGAGACTGTGCCTTTCTAGTACAACTGTAGTACGCGGAGCAATCTGTGGAGCTGGAAGCTGAGAAAACTGGCGACTTCGTAGTACAACTTTAGTACGCGGAGTAGCCGGGGAGCTGGAAGATGAGAACTGGCGACATGGTAGTACAACGTTAGTGCGCGGAGTAGCTAGGGAGTGGGAAGATGGGAACTGGCGACATTGTAGTACAACTTTAGTACGCGGAGTATCTGGCGAGGTGGAAGATGAGAACTGGTGACTTTGTAGTACAACTTTAGTACGCGGACTAGTTGGGGAGCTGGAAGATGAGAACTGGCGACTTTGTCGTACAATTGTAGTACGCGGAGTAGCTGGGGAGCTGGAAGCTGAGAACTGGCGACTTTGTAGTACAACTTTAGTACGCGGAGCAATCTGTGGAGCTGGAAGCTGAGAAGTGGCGACTTTGCAGTACAACTTGAGTACGCGGAGTAGCTGTGGAGCTGGAAGCTGGGAAGTGGCGACTTTGTAGTACAACTTTCTTACGCGGAGTAGCTGGGGAGCTGGAAGATGAGAACTGGTGACTTGGTAGTACAACTTTAGTACGCGGAGTATCTGGCGAGGTGGAAGATGAGAACTGGTGACTTTGTAGTACAACTTGAGTACGCGGAGCAATCTGTGGAGCTGGAAGATGAGAACTGGCGACTTTGTAGTACAACTTTAGTGCGCGTAGCTGGGGAGCTGCAAGCGACTTTGTAGTACAACTTTAGTACGCGGACTAGTTGGGGTGCTGGAAGATGAGAACTGGCGACTTTGTAGTACAATTGTAGTACGCGGAGTAGCTGGGGAGCTGGAAGCTCAGAACTGGCGACTTTGTAGTACAACTTTAGTACGCGGAGCAATCTGTGGAGCTGGAAGCTGAGAAGTGGCGACTTTGTAGTACAACTTGAGTACGCGGAGGAGCTGTGGAGCTGGAAGCTGAGAACTGGCGACTTTGTAGTACAACTTTAGTACGCGGAGTAGCTGGGGCTGGAAGATGAGAACTGGTGACTTTGTAGTACAACTTTAGTACGCGGA